GACCGAGTTCAGACCTTTCGATACAACAGACGAACGCGCCTGATGATGCTGAATCGATTCTTGTGCTTACCAGCTCTGTAGCTCCCCTCTTGTTATAAGAGCAGCTCAGCTCTTCTGAAGGAGTTTCACTATCTGTTGACTTCCGGGAACCAGCCTGATATTGACATCAGGAAATACAAACATGAAGTTTTTAAGGGAATATTCTGCGAAGTTCTTTGCTTCGATTCTGAGCACTCTTACGCGAGCACGGAGCTCTACGAGGTCCCCGGCAGTGACTAGGTTGGCGGTTCACCGCTGGCGCCGGTTGCTCGAAGCTTAAGAGTAATTGGGAGCCGGCGGTAAACCGTCAACCAGGTTACCGCCGGGAGCCTCGTACAGCTCTTTCCTTTGCGCGGCGCTGCTCCGAACACATGGAAAGAGCTTCATCAAGCGTTAGCTGTGGTGGTGCCTGCCAGGAGCTCCTTCACGGCGGTCCACGTCCGCCGCAGCAGCTCGCCCGTGCCGGCAGCTGGTTCGGGGGCGCTTCCCGCGCGCGTCCACGCGTGCCTGCACGCGTGCAGGCGCGCATGGGGGCGTGCCTGGCAGCGCTTTCGAAGCGCTTCAGGGGAGCCCCCTAGAGCTCTCCAAGAAAGATTTCCCGTCCCCGAGGGTCTTTCGCTCTCCGGGTTTTGGACGCTACCAAGTTGATATTGAGTAAAAACTCGAGATGCTGTTTCTGGGTTTTACGCAATGTCGGTTCCTCCTAGTCTTTTGGTAGAGGTAGTGCAGCTGGGGCCCTAAGAATTGCACCATCGAGCGCGCCATAATTCACTGCAGAGAATAAAATTCTCGATTTCCAAAACGATTTCCAAAATCTCTCACAATCTCTGAAAAACCGACCCCAGGTTACCACATTGTCCGCCCGGGCCGGGTCGGCCAACTAGCTCCACCCCGCGCCAGAATTTCTCTAGCTCATCGATGCCGAAGAGCTCTACGAGGTATTCCGGGGCGCTGGAGGGCTAGTACCTCGTAGAGCTCTTCGTGATGAGCGAGAGGAATTCCGGCGCGGGGTGGTCGATCCGGCCAGAAAAGAGGATGTGACGACTTTGGGTCGGTTTTGCTGAGATTTCAAAGATATTTAACAATTCATTTTAAGAAAGCAGATTTTTACGCTAAGCATTCGCATATAAGCTTCGTTCTGAGAGCAGCTGAGCTCCCCCGAGGAATTTTTACGATCCGTTCACTTCCGGGAGCCATCGGAAGAAAAAACATCAGTCGCGCTAGTCCGAAGTATCTAGACGCTTGGATTGGTTCTGTTCTGAGCGGAGAAGCCGGACAACTAGTCATACTCTGCTGTTGTTCTGGTGATGGCATTGGTTCTCTTGACTTAACTCGGGCTGCAGATGGGCTCCACAGCTCTTAGGCACAGCAATCGGAAGATAATCATCAGGCGCGCTATTTGGAAGTATCTAAACGGGTGATCTCAGTCTGCGATCAACGCTCGGGCTGAACAACTATTTGTACTCTGCGCTGCAGATAAGCTACAGCTGTGCAGCGCAGCAATGGGAAGGGAATCGTCAGGGGCGCTAGTCAAATGTGCCTGAAATCAGCCCGCTATCAGCGCTTGGGCTGAAAAAGCTATTCGTTCTCTGCTAATGCTTTGGAGATGATGCATGGCAAGGAAGGTCAACGAGTCTCCCGGCGATACCCCAGGCTGACGGTTTACCGCCGGCGCCCAGTTCCGGGGCGCGTTCGTCTGAAGCATCTAGAGGTTGGAACTCGGTCTGCTACTCGAGCTAGGTCCGCGCAACTATTAGTTGTTTTGAGTGATCTTAACAGATTCTGTCGGTTTTCTGGACTTAACTCGAGCTGTAGGAGAGCTCAAGAGCTGATACGCACACATAATCGATTCAGAATCATCAGGCGCGTTCGTATGAAGCATCTAGAGGTCTGAACTCGGTCTGCTACTCGAGATAGGTCCGCGAAACGATTCGTTTTTTTTTTTTTTTTTTTTTTTTTTTTTTTTTTTTTTTTTTTTTTTTTTTTTTTTTTTTTTTTTTTTTTTTTTTTTTTTTTTTTTTTTTTTTTTTTTTTTTTTTTTTTTTTTTTTTTTTTTTTTTTTTTTTTTCTTCCCCCCCCCCCCCCCCCGAGATGCTGGTGAGTATCTTCACTTAACTCGAGCTGCAGATGAGCTCGAGTGCTCTTCGGCACGAATATCGGGATGGGATCATCAGGCGCGATGGTCTGAAGTATGTAGACGCTTGGATTGGGTCTGTTATCAGCGCAGAAGCCGAACAACTAGTCATACTCTCTTTTTTTTTTCTGGTGATGGAATTCATTTTCTTGAAAGAACTCGAGGTGCAGATGAGCTCCAGAGCTCTTAAGCACAGCACTCGGAAGATAATCATGAGGCGCGCTAATTGGAAGTATCTAGGCGCCTGAACTCAGTCTGCTATTTGCGCGTGGGCTGAACAACCATTCGTACTCTGCTAATTTCTTGGAGAGGGTGTTCGTTTTCCTGGTTTTACTGGTGCTGCAGATGAGCTACAGAGCTGTTCAGCACAGCAATCGGAAGGGAATCACCAGGGGCGCTTTTTAAAAGTATCTAGACGCCTGAAATCAGTCTGCTATCAGCGCTCGGGCTGAAAAGCTATTCGTTCTCTGCTAATTCTTTGGAGATGGTATATTGCAAGGAGGCTCTACGAGTCTCCCGGCGGTAACCAAGGTTGACGGTTTACCGCGGGCGCCCAGTTCCGGCGCCCTGGAGGGCTAGTTGGCAAGAAAAATCTTGGCAAGAAATGGTGTCGCTTGCTCGGTTGAAAATTATCGAAATTCAACCATTCATTCGAGCTCTAGTATTTTTTCCCGTGATATTCGATCTTGCGCCCGCTCGCCGTCTTAATCTCAGCTCGGTTGGGTAAATATTACTACCAAAAAGGATCCAGGCGGGATCGGCTGTTTAGAGTCATCTTGACAGGCGTTCTCGGTTTTCTGTACTTAACTCGAGCCGTAGGAGAGCTACAGAGCTGGTACGCACACTTAATCGATTCAGAATCATCAGGCGCGTTCGTCCGAAACATCTAGAGGTCTGAACTCGGTCTGCTACTTGAGCTGGGTCCGCGAAACTATTCGTACTCTCCTATTCTTTCGGGAGATGATGATGAGTTTCTTGACTGAACTCGAGCCTCAGATGAGCTAAAGGGCTCTTCGGCAGAGCAATCGGGAGGCAATGATCAGGCGCGCTAGTCTAAAGTATCTAGACGCCCGAACTCGGTCTGATATCAGCACAGCCGAAAGAACTATTCGTACGTTCCAGTTTTTTGGAGATCGCGATGGTTTTCTTGACTTAGCTTGAGGTGCAGATGAGCTACAGAGCTGTTCGGCTGAGCAGTCGGAAGGGAATCATCAGGCGCAGTAGTTCTACATATCTAGACGCCTGAAATCAGTTTGCTATCAGCGCTGGACTGAAAAACTACAAGTTTTCTGATATTTCCGATCTGGTGATGATTTTCTTGGCTTAACTCGAGCTGCAGCTGAGCTACAGAGCTGTTCAGCAGAAGAATCATAAGGCAGTCATCAGGCGCTCTACTAGACACCTGGACTCGGTCTGCTATCAGCGCAGACGCCGAAACACTATCTGTACTCTGCTTTTTTTCGGAGATGGAATTGGTTTTCTCGACTTACCTGGAGCTGCAGATGAGCTCCAGAGCTCTTAAGTACATCAATCGGAAGGAATGCATCAGACGCACCTAGGCGCCTGAAATCAGTCTGCTATTAGCGCTCAGGCTGAAGAACTATTTGTGCTCTGCTAATTTCTTGGAGATGGTATTGGTTTTCTTCGCTTACCTCGCGCTGCAGATGAGCTGCAGAGCTGTGCAGCACATCGATCGGAAGGAATACATCAGACGCACCTAGACGCCTGAAATCAGTCTGCTACTAGCGCTCAGGCTGAAACACTATTTGTGCTCTGCTAATTTCTTGGAGATGGTATTGGTTTTCTTCGCTTACCTCGCGCTGCAGACGAGCTACAGAGCTGTTCAACACAGCAATCGGAAGGGAATCACCAGGGGCGCTTTCTAAAAGTATCTAGACGCCTGAAATCAGTCTGCTATCAGCGCTCGGGCTGAAAAGCCATTCGTTATCTGCTAATTCTTTGGAGATGGTATTGGTTTTCATGATTTAACTCGAGCTGCAGATGAGCGAGGAAGCTCCACGAGTCTCCCGGCGGTAACCAAGGTTGACGGTTTACCGCCGGCGCCCAGTAATGCCTCATAGAGCTCTTCGGTATCGATGAGCTAGAGGGATTCTGGCGCGAGTGCAGCTAGTGACTCGTAGAGCTTCCCTAAGAGCGTTAGCGGCGAATCTAGGAGAGTAATTCCGGCTCGCTGGGGGGCTAGTTGGCCAAAAACATTTCGACAGATGCTTTGGGAACTGACTCGTAGAGCTTCCCTAAGAGCGTTAGCGGCGAAGCTAGAAGAGTAACATCGGCGCGCTGGTGGCTAGTTGGCAAAACAATATCGACGGATGTTTTGGGAACATTTGCCTTGTTGCAATTGAATTTCTCGGAATCCAACCATTCGTTAGAGCTCTAGTATTTTTCCCGCCATATTCGATCTTATTTCCGCTCGCCTTCTCTATCTCAGTACGATCGGGTACCGATTATTGCTAAAGAAGCACTCAGGCGGGATCGGCTCTTTCGGTCATCTTGACAGGTGCTGTCGGTTTCTTAAGTTAGCTTGAGCTGTAGGACAGCTACAGAGCTGATGCGCACACGTAATCGATCTAGAATCGTCAGGCGCGTTCGACTGAAGTATCTAGACGTCTGAACTCGGTCTGCTACTCGAGTTAGGTCCGAAAAGCCATTCGCATTTCATTTTTTGGGGAGATGAGGATGCGTTTCTTGACTTAACTCGAGCTGCAGATGAGCTACAGAGCACCTTGGGACAGCAATCGAATGAAATCATCGGGCGCGATAGACTGAAGTATCTAGACGCCTGAACTCGGTACGTTATCAGCGCTGGCTCTGCTGATTTTTTGGATATGATGATTGTTTCCTTGACTTAACTCCTCTTAGCTCGAGCTGCGGATGAGCTGCAGAGCTGTTCGGCACAGCAATTGATTGGGAGCAAATACTCAGGCGCGCTAGTTCAAGGACGACGTCTTCGTCGAGGAGTTCATCGAGGCCCCCTGGCTTCGTCGCAGCACCTCGAGCCGCCCCTCAAGCAGTCCACGCTCTTCGGCCATGGTTTCACGGCCGTCCGCAAGAGCGTGGCCGAGCCAAAAAAGTAATGACATCGGGGGCCGACGAGGCAGGCTCGAGTAGGCGGCCACCCGATTGCAATATGCCTCTGCCAACGTTGCCACCCTCTATCCACGTGAACATACCCTGGCCTCTACACGTGGTTCCTTCGCCCTCATGCTGGGCAAGGTCCAGATGCTCGAGCTCAACTTCCACCGCTCCTCCCTGGACGTGGTCTGTATTCAGGAGGGCCGTACTCCGCAGTGTGATGTCCACGATGGCGTCACTACCGCATGTATGCTGGCTGTGCGGGCTCAGACGGCAGCACCTCCGCCGCCGCTGACCCTGAGCAGCATGCGACCGAACTCACCGACTACGTCCATGCATCTACCCTCAAGTCGTTCGGCTCCGTCAAAGACACCCCGCGTAAGCCCTGTATATCACCACCTACGTGGCGCATTGTCCGTGGTCCAGCCCCGCTGCGCCGCGCTGCCAGCGTTGCTGGGGCACCCGCCGTTCAGGCGCTCCTACATGCAGCCCTGTGCGCCTGGGCCAGCCTCGTCCCCGGCGCATTTGTCCCCGGACGGGTCCGTGGCCGACGCGGCGGCCTCGGGTGGCACCCTGGTGCGCGGTGCGGCGAGGCTCGTCGCCAGCTCCACGTCCCCCGCCTCACCTCCACGATGGCGTGGCGCGCGGCCGCGGCGATCTTGCGCATGATCAAGCCCGCTATCGCTGAATATTGCCGCGTGTTCATCGAGGCCAAGACCCTTGAAGCGCGCGACGTCCAGGCCAGAGGTGACGCGCGCACCGCGTATGCCATCCCTCGTGCCTTCGGCGGTCGCTTCACCACGGACCACTCATCGCACGCCGTTTTGAGCTTCCTCGATTATTGCAAGATCCGGCATTTCTGCGCATTTGTTCTTTACGTGGATCTGTCCGAGGCGTTCGGTAGGGCGATCCGTGAACTGGTCCTCGGCATCCCTCACTACTGCGCCTGCCCGTCCACTTACTTGGCCGGCCTGGGTCTTCGCGCCCATCAGGTGGATTGGATCGTTGAGTTCATCGCCGTCCACGGGCCCCTCATGCAGCGGTGGGGTGTTCCCGAAAAGATCGTGCGCCTTCTCAAGAATCTGCGCTCCAAGAGTTGGCTTAGCTCCGGCGACGTGGACACTGCGGTCAGCGTGCGCCTTGGGGGTAAACAAGGCTGCAAGCACGGCAGTGCGATTTTCAACGGATCGTACTCGGTCGGCCTGCTGCTCCTGATGGGCGCCCTCCTCAAGGCTGGCGCGACGTTGCGCATTCATGACCCTGGCCCCGACTTCGTCTCTCCTGGAGGCGTCCCTGCTGATCGCCGCCCGCCAGCGGCTGAAGGGGGGGCTGGCTCTGTCCTCCCTGCCTCGCTCGACTCCGCCGTCCCCGTCATCGACGTGGCGTTTGTGGACGACGAGTGTTTGCTGCTGTGCGCTGAGACCCCCGCCGTCCTAGATCGGAACATTGACGTCCTCCTCGGGTCGTTGTGTGGCATATTCGACCCGCTGGGCTTCGTAAACAACTGGAAGCCGGGGAAGACGGAATGCAGCCTCATCTACAGGGGCCACAACGCAGCCGCCCATTACGCCGCCAGGAGAATTGGACCCCGGGGCGCTCTCCAGGTGAAGTTTCCTGGCTCCTCCGGCCACGTCACCGTGGTGCACCAATGCAAGCACTTGGGGGGCATCGCCGAGGTCGGAGGCAACAACGTTCACGAAGCTCGGGCCCAGGCGGTGTCGGCAGCAGAGGCGTGCGAGTTTACGGCAACGAGGGCTACCCGCTCCTGGACCGTTGGAGCCTCATGCAGTCCCTGGTGTTCTCCAGGCTGTTCTTCAACATAGCTGCTCTGCACGTCCTGAACACCATGTGCATGCGATGCCTGCGCCGCCTTGCTGGCGAATGTAGGTTCGGCCCGAGTGTGGCTGACGTCGACGTGCGTCGGCTCATCAAGGCCCCGCCCGTGGATTGCGTCCTCATGCGGAAGCGGCTCGCATATCTTTGCCGCGTCGTCCGGCGCGGTCCTCCTGAGCTCGGTGCCCTCCTCGCTCATAGTTGTGACCGCCCCCCAGTCCCTTGGGTTTCGCAGCTTCTGGATGGCCTCAAGTGCGTTTGGCGCATGGCCGCCTTGTGCTCCACTCCCAGATCCGGCAATTTTTTTTCGGCCCTGGCAGCTTATAGTACGCGGGCCAGCCCGATGGTCCCAGGCATACAATTGTATATACTTTGTCGAGTCTGCGTGCGCCCTAGGGGCGGGCACCGTTCCTTCTCGCGACGCGCCTGTTACAGCTCGCCAGTGCTCCCAGTGCTCCTCTGCATTTGCCGCGTCTCGAGCTCTGCGCTCCCATGTGCGCGCGAAGCATGGTGCCAAGGCACCTCAGCGAATCTTCTGCTTGCCCGATGGCGTTTGCCAAATGCGCAATACCCAAATCAGATCGAGGCTCCGCCTGCTTGCGCACCTGTGCGACAGCAGGCGCACGAAGTGCTGGGGCGCCATGCGTTCCTCCCCCTCGTCCTTCAAGCGCCTCGCACCCTCCTTGTGTACAGAGCTTGATTCCTTGGACATTGTGCAGAGGCGCGACGCTCGTCGCGCCGGTCACTCCCTTGCCCTAGCCGTGGGCCAGGCTTGCACCGCATCTGGTCGAGCGATAGGGTGTGCCAGGAGGTGGCAGCTCCTCTTGCTCACCCTCGCGTTTGCCGTTCTCTGCGCGCGGCCTCCGCGTCTGCTTAGCTTTGCATGTTCGCTTACTTGCGACGGACATGTTTCAAGCCTCGAGGAATAAACAACTAATGTATGCATGTATGTATGTATATGTATATATATATATATATATATATATATATATATATATATATACACATTTGCATAACTATGTTAACACATATGGATATATACGATACATAAGTACACAGCACAACCTGATATCAAAATGGTGGGCGGGAGCAATATCTTAGTTGTCTTGAACATGTTTATGGCATCAGCGAGTGGTCAATATTCGCGCAGCGCTTTTTCCACCACCTTCTTTGGACGACACATTCTGTCGATGTTGTTTTCACCAACAAGATTCAGTTGCCCCGCGCAAGGAAAACTTCAGCGCGTTGCCTCACAGCTGAAGCAACATTACGACACTAGGCGCTGGCGGTACACAGTCATCCCTGGTTACCGCTAGGACAAACGTAGGGCTCCTATTTCTGAAAAGTGCACATGCGTCGCTATTTCTTTTCGTGTGAGCTATCGAACTCAGGGCTGTCAGTCGGAGTTGTGTTGGGAACAAATTCGAGTAGGAGGCCGATTTCTGTGCCCCCGAGGCTCCAGGCTGATGCTGCCGACAATGCCCGATCCAACATCGATTGGCCAACTAGAGCAAATTTGTTTTTTGAGCGCACGCTGTTGTGGAGACCAGGTGTCAGCCATTGTTTTCTCACAGTATAATGACAAAATCATACATACGTTGTAGGTGTAAATCCAGCGTGTTTCCAATAAGGCCTTGTTCTGGCGCATCGTCCTCATCGTTGCCATCGTCATCCCCATCGTTGTCATCACTGTCATCACCGCACTTGCTCCGTCGTTCGCCATCCCCAGCGTATTTATCATCACCGCCGGCTTCACCATCGCCATCATCGTCGACATTGTCATCTTCGTCACGGCCATCAGAACAAACACCACCTTCATAATCGTCGTCGCTGGCATCACCATCCGCCCGCCCGAGACATAGTTCTGCGCGATGTGGCCCGTGCCTCATTGAACCGTTCCTGGAGTTGTTATCAATGTATCGTCGTTCTTATGACTCACGGGCTCCTGAACTTCTCAATGTTGTCGTTCTTGCGCTGGCCATAATCCGCCAGCCCAGCACATGATTCTGCGTGAGAATGGTCTGCGCATCATGGTGCGGCTCCTGAAGGATATACGAATCATGCTACTCCCTTGCAGAAGAAGCGATTCCATCGTCTTGTCGATGGACGCGTTCTGTGCTCGAGCGGAAACACGTTCGCATAAGTGCTAGCGTGTTGATTACGCAGCGTTCTTGCAATCTCATGATGCTTATTGTGGGACTCGAAGCACACCATTGTTGTAAACAGCAGGGATACTCTTTCTGTTGTGAAGGAAGAGTTTTTTTTCTTGGGCAGCGGTGCTTGCTCTGCCAGCGGCCTGTGTTTTCTGTTAACCGCCAACCCCAAGCCCGATGCAAACAGCATGCTGCAAGTTCCGCTCCCATGGTGGGATGCTGGTGGTCAAGGCGTTGAGCTGGCTCCCTCGATGTATTTTGTGATTGTTGTGAGGTGCGGGATCAGCCATGCGAAAATGAGACTATTCACGCCAAAGGGAAATCTCATGCTGAAGTCGGCGATCCAATTTCAAGCAGTGGTGCCTGTGGCTTGCTATGAAGTCGTCCAGTCCCGCCACAAGTGTACGCCTTTGCTTTGTCTTCTGAGTCGGCATGTGTCTTTTGGTGTGGGTGGGGTGGGGGCGGGCCGGGCGGGGCCGAGGTATTTCACAGAGCTTTGAGTCAGCTGCACATCAATGCGCGCAGCCATGGGTCAACCAGTGCGCTTCGTGGTCATACCGTGGGCCCTGACGTGAACCCCCCCCGCCCCCACGCCCTCGACAAGTATTCGACTGCTGTCCTTTTCCATCCGTCCTCCCTCCTCCCTCCTTATATCCTGGCGTCCCTCCACATTCCTTCATGCCGCTTGCCTCCCTCCTCTCTCGCTTTTTCTCCCTTTCCTCCCTCTTCGCTTCTTTCTTCTCCGTCCGCCCTTCTCCTACGTTCCCAGTTCCTCGTCCCGCCCTCTTTCCCTCCCCGTCCATCTGTCCTCCTCTATCCTCCATGCTAAGTTCCCCTCTCCCTTCATCCTCCTCCCCTCGCCTCGCTCCTTTCTTCGGCCTCTTCCCTCTTACCTCCTCCCTCTCCGCTTCTCTTCGCTTCTCTCCGAACTTGTCTCCTCCCTGCTTCTCTTCGCTCTGCCCTCTTTTTGCCCTGCCTCCTCTCTCTCGGCAACTTCCCACTCTATGCTCCTCCGTTCTTCCCCTTTCTCTCGCTCGTATTGGTCGTTCCCTGCTCCTTTCTCTTGCTCTTCCCCTTTCTCTTGCTCGTATTGGCCCTTCCCCCCTCCGCGTTCCTGCTCGTTTCCCCCCGGCCCGCGCCCGACAAATGGCAAGAGTCATACGCAATGAGGGCCAACCGTTCAAAGCCATCGTATGGAAAACTGTAGCAGACAGAAGGCCAGATGGCAGAGTCATATCATGAGGAGGAGTGGGACGAGGACGACAAGGAAAGGGGGGAAGATGGAGGACCCCAGGGGGTCGGAAGGGTGGATGAGGATGGAGGGGCAGTGCGAGGAGGGAGGAGGAGGAGGACCTTACGTGATATTGGAGGATGGGCGGTGCACGTGATATGGAGGATGCGTGTGTGTGTGTGTGTGTGTGTGTGTGTGTGTGTGTGTGTGTGTGTCGGGGGGAGAAGCCACCGTGCACTTCCTCGCCATCACCGCAACCCTCATAACCTCGCCCTTGCTGGCTTTTCCACCTCTCTCTGTTTTTGTTCGTACCTTCTGCGCTGCATCGACGGCACTTTGGTGAGAACAGTTCGAGTCTGATATTATTCGTTCACTTTTGCCGCAAAGGAACGCAGCACTCGTGCAGCTTATGCCCCAGCGTCCCATGCTCTTCGAGGCTCCGCGCCGCCCGTCCTGCCAGGTGGACCACGGCCTCGCTCGGCCCACGAGGGTGCCAGGATCCGCCAGCGCAAGAGATGGATGAAAAGGGAACGAGGAGGAGGTGGTGGAGGAGGAGGAGGTGGAAACGAAGAGGAGGAGGAGGAGGAGGGGGAGGAGGAGGAGGACGTGTAAACGAGGAGGAGGAGGAGGACATGAAGAGATGATGATGATGCTGCTGCTGATGATGATGATGATGCCGAAGATGATGATGCTGCTCCTGATGATGATGATGAGTATGAGGAGGAATATGATGATTATGATGATGATGATGATTATGATTTTGAGGCGATGATGATGATGATGTTGACGATGATGACGATGATGCTGATGCTGATGGCGATGATGATGATGCTGATGCTCATGATGATCATGATGCTGATGATGCTGATCTTGATTATGATGACGATGATGACGATGATGACGATGATGACGATGATGATGATGCTGCTGCTGCTGATGATGATGCTGGTGCTGATGATGATGATGACGATGATGATGATGAGTATTATGATGATGACGATGATGATGCTGATGATGATGAAGACGATGATGATGATGACGACGATGATGATGATGATGTTGATCATGATCATGATGACGATGCTGATTATGATTATGATGATGATGATGATGATGATGATGATGATGATGATGATGATGATGATGATGATGATGATGATGATGATGATGATGATGATGATGATGATGATGATGATGATGATGCTGATGATGATGATGATGATGATGATGATGATGATGATGATGATGATGATGATGACGATGATGATGATGATGATGATGATGATGATGATGATGATGATGATGATGATGATGATGATGATGATGATGATGATGATGATGATGATGATGATGATGATGATGATGATGATGATGATGATGATGATGATGATGATGATGATGATGATGATGATGATGATGATGATGATGATGATGATGATGATGATGATGATGATGATGATGATGATGATGATGATGATGATGATGATGTGTGGTGGCTCGGTCTGCAATCAAAGGATGGGTTAGGATGGGTACGACTGTGTCACGCGCCTGTGCTTGACAGCGGTGTCCAAGATCTCCCAGCGCCCCCCCTCCAGCGTGGGCTAGAACCAGAGTGTGCGCGAAGCTCGCGCGACGGTTCAAGTATGTGTGTATGTATGCATGTCTGTCTGTCTGTCTGTCTGTCTGTCTGTATGTATGTATGTATGTATGTATGTTTGTATGTATGTATGTATGTATGTATGTATGTATGTGTGTGTATATATGTATATGTGTGTGTATATATATATATATATAGATATGTCGGAGTAGGCCGGGGGGGGGGTCCCGGCTGCTGCCTCTGGTCGCCATGGGCCCCCCCCCCCAGGCTATTTTTTGGCACCGCTAACGAGGATCGTGGCCCCCTCGCCGACAATTCCAGCCCTCAGTCTCAAGAAGCCGCCACGCGGGCCGTACAGATGGTCACGAAAGCCTGAAGAGACCCCGAAGACAGTCAAAAGCGCCCCAAGAGGGCCCGTGAGGGCCCCAAGAGGGCCTTCAAGAGGCAAACATTGGCCCATTTCCCTCGTAAAACGTGCATTTTCGGCATACTCGCTGGCTTCGTCTTCACAGTGCCCCAGACGCCCCCGCGGAGCCCCAACACAGCCCAAGAGAGACCCAAGAGGGCCCAAGACGGCCCAAAAGGGTCGGCCTGCCTGTGGGGCTCACGGAACCTCCCAACACGGCCCAAGAGGCCCCAAAGCCGGCCCAGGAGGCCCCCAAGACGGCCCAGCAGGCCCTGCTGCTGCTGCTGCTGCTGCTGCTGCTGCTGCTGATGATGATGATGATGATGATGATGATGATGATGATGATGATGATGAGTATGAGGAGGAGGAAGAGAAGGAGGAGTAGAAGGAAGGGGAGAAGCAGGACGAGGAGAGGAGGAGGAGGAGGAAGACGAGGAGAAGGCGGGCTTGAGTGGTTGACTGCTGGGACTGGCCGACCGGAAAGCAAGAGTCATTAGCTACGCTCCCCTCTCCTTATTACAACTTTGCGCCGCGTTTCCTCTCCAAGAGAGGGTTGGCGGTGCCCGTAACAGTTGTTTTTGCTCAAAGATTAAGAGGGCCCGCGCGCGCGCCCAGCCTCCCTTCACTCGGCTGGCTGGCTCCTTAGATACCTTGTCCAGTATTGCTTAACGGAACCATGTCGACTACAAGGTCTCCTACTTCGAGGTTAAATATGATGCCGGTGCTAGACCATACACAAGTACATGGAGAGCATCAAGATAATTACAAACCTTTCTCTACGGATATCGGTATTCCTGAAGTGGGAATTGCTAGGCAAAATGCTGGGTATCAGCCAAAATGCTCACTACGAGGTCTCGCGATTGTGTCGCTAGCCTCGGAGGTGTCGGGGCCAAACAAATACGGAAGGATGACGGACCCGAATAATATCAATACACGAACGAAGGAATCAGGACCCGTATCTCCCGTGTGTTGACAAAGCGAACTAGATTTGGATAAAGTGACCCTCGCGACGGCTTTAGTAGTGATTGTGTCATTGGCGCCGCCGCGGTTCCCCCGCATAGTCTCAGCAGGCCAGATTCCGCTGGCCGCGCGGCTCGCCATTGAGCAGGGGCGCGGGCCGCCGAGACGCCGCGGGAAGGCGATCCCGTAGAGCAGAGAGGAGTGGTGCGGCAGTCGCGGGACCCCGTGGTCCCCGCTGTTGGCGTCGGTTCGCCGGGCCTTAGTGAACAACTCTGACGCCTCCGTCTCGGGCGGCGCTCTCTCCGCATCACCGGAGGCTGCCGGATCAGTGAAGGCACCGCCGCGTCTGCCCTGGGGTACAGAGGAACATCAGCCCTCTAGCGTCGGATCGAGCATTTGCGATGCTAGGCCGGGACCCAGGGCTGGAAGCGTGGACGCGGACGGGTCGCGTCCGCGGCTGCGGGTAACCATGTTTTCGAAGCCTCTCATCCGGACGCATCCGCCGCTACTGCGAGCGGCCGAGCCGCAATGTCAGACCACGAAGGGGAAGATATCCTCTCTGCTGGCGATATCGTGCCGAATACGGTAGCGCTGGTGAATCGGAGAGGAGCAGCGTGCCAGCAGCCCCGGCCGTCTTGTGACCTGTCGGTGAACCCGCCGATGGGAAAGCGATCCAAGTCCGATGAGGATCGGGATGACGTGTCGCTGCGCAGACCGGGGGGGGGACGAGTGGAATTGGACGACTGGAATTAGGTTCACGAGTCACGGGCCCCTCGATCCTCCCGCGCGAGCACGACCGCGGAGAGAGCCCCATTTGGAGGTCCGTGCGGCGGCTCGCCCCTCGCACGCGCTTGCCTGGTTGCCGCCTTTGCAGCCTCTTGTCTCTCTGCCCGGATTGTCTCCCGCCAGCTGCCCACAACGGCGCGGCTTTGCGCGGGCAGGAATGGCAAGCGGCGGAGGACAAGAAACGCAGGGTGGCGATCGCCGAGAGAGACTCCGAGGTACCGCGCGCGCGGGAGCAACTCGCGCAGGCCGATCTCCAGCGTCGAGCTGCCGCGCGCCAGCGGGCCGAGGCAGACCGCGCTGGAATTGTGCGGGTCCTCTTGGGCATGGAGAGGAGGTAGCGGGCGGCCGCCTCAGACCTGTCTTCGAAGGCATCGGCTGAACAGGCGGGGGGCCGGCGGAGTTCAGGCGTCATTTGCGAGCGAGAAGCGTGCCCGAGATCTTGAGATGAACGTGATCCAGGGGCTGCTCAGGCGCAGGCCGTCGCCCGACAGAGGGCCTCTCAGGAAATCAATTCGAGGGGGGCGAGCGGCGCGATGATGGAGACTGAGGCCCAGGAAGCGGCGCGGACGGCCCGAGCCAAGAGCGTTGCTGTAGAGGCGTCTGCATTTTGTGCCAGAGGAGGAGGAGGAGTAGGAGGAGGAGGAGGAGGAGGAGGAGGAGGAGGAGGAGGAGGAGGAGGAGGAGGAGAGGAGGAGGAGGAGGACGATGAGGAACAGGCGGAGGAGGATGAGGATGAGGAGGGTGAGGTTGCGGAGGAGGAGGAGGCGGAGGACGAGGAGGATGAGGAGGGGGCGGTGGAGGAGGAGGAGCAGGAGGAGGAGGAGGAGGAAGAGTAGGAGGAGGAGGAGGATGACGATATGAGGTGGAGGAGGAGGAGGCGGAGGAGGAGGAGGAGTAGGAGGAGGAGGGTGAGGATTAGGATGATGATGAGGAGGAGGAGGAGGAGGAGCAGGATTAAGAGGCGGAGAAGGAGGATGAGGAGGAGGACGAGGAGGAGGAGGAGGACGAGGAGGAGGATGAGGAGGAGGAGGAGGAGGAGGACGACGAGGAAGAGGAGACGGGGGATAGGGGAGGAAGAGGAGGAGGAGGAGGAGGAGGAGGAGGAGGATGATGATGATGATGATGATGATGCTGATGATGATGATGATGATGATGAGGATGACGATAGTGATGATGCTGATGATGATGATGATGATGATCACGATGATGATGATGATGAGGATGCGGAGGAGGAGGAGGCGTATGAGGAGGTTGGGGGGGAGGAGTAGGAAGAGGCGGACGAGGAGAAGGATGATGAAGAGGATGAGGAGGAGCAGGCGGATCATGATGATGATGCTGCTGCTGATGGTGAGGATGATGGTGATGGTGATGCTGAGGATGATGATGATGCTGCCGCTGATGATTATGATGGCTATGATGGCTATGATGGCTATGATGATGATTATAATGATGATGGTGATGATGGCGATGATGCTGCTGATGATGATGCTGCTGATGCTGCTGATGATGGTGCTGATGCCGATGCTGATGCTGATGATGCTGATGACGATGCTGATGATGCTGATGCTGCTGCTGATGATGATGCTGATGCTGCTGCTGATGATGATGATGATGTCGATGATGATGAAGATGATGACGATGCTGATGGTGGTGCCGATGCTGATGCTGATGAAGATGATGATGATGATGCTGATTGTGCTGCTGATGATGATGCGGCTTGCGAATGATGCTGATGATGGTGCTGATGA